TTAATTTTTTTGAAAAAAAATTGTTTCATAATAAAAATTAATTAAAAAATCTATTTGTATCTATATCGAAAACGTTCTGGAATGAAGTTTTTCTACAACAAGAATCTATTACGTCAAATTAAGGGCACTTATATGTGAAAATTCGATTAAAACTTCAAGAATAACATAATTGGGAAGGAAAACGCCCCAAAGGTGCTATGTCAGAACATAAACTGAAGTCGATTTTTTTTTTTTTTTTGAAATATTTTTTCCGCTCTCCAAGAACCAGAAGTACCAAATTACAACCACTTCAGTAAAAAATACGGCTAAAGCATTCAAAATGGCTTAATCGTTATTTGGAGGTTCCTGTCAACACTGGAACGTATTTCAAAAATTCTTTGGGGAAATTTCCGCAAAAATTTTAAAATTTTTAAATTTTAAATCTTCCGCTAAAATGTGTTCTAACCCACAAGAAGTCGGAATGCCAAATTACAACTCCTTCGGTCAGAAAATGTGACGAAAACCCTGAAAATACCGAAATTAGATCGTGACCTTCTTATGGGGCCAAATCAAAATATCGTGGTTTCGGTCAACACAATAACTTACTTCGAAAAATCTGTAGAAACGATTACGCAAAAATTGTAAAAATTCGAAAAATGCCGAGGAACCTTTATGTGGTGGATATATCAAAAACATGGACCTCTGCTGTAAATCTTCCGTTTAAATGTATTCTAACCCACAAGAAGCCGGGAAGACAAATTTCAGCTCCTTCGGTTAGAAAATGTGACGGAAACCCCTCAAAATACTGAAATTAGATCGGGACCTTCTCATGGTGCTAAATCAAAATATCGACCCATGTTGATAATATTATGTATAGGTGTATGTCAGCCTTCAAGAAACCTTTACACCAAATTACAGCTACATCGGTGGGAGAATGTGACTAAATTCTTCAAAATACGAAAAATTGATGGAGCTATACCAAAGGGGAGTTATACCAAAAGGATGACCGATATTAATAATTTTTGCTGGGAGGATTTATCATCCCATGATAACCTGAAAAATCTAATTTTAATTAAATCGATTGAAAACCCGTATTAAAAATTTCAAAAATACTAAAATTTTGGAGGTACCGTTATATGGAGGCTAGCCGGAAACTTGGGCCAATATTGCAAATTTTTGATAGGAAGATAAAATAGGAAGATAAATACAAAATACCAAATTACAGCCAATTCGGTTGAAAATCGTACTAAAAATTCGTAAAATATCCAAGTTTTGGAGGTTATGTTATATGAGGGCTACCCTATAATGCATTAATGATAATTTTTGTTAGGGAGATTTTCTATTTAATGATTATTCAAAATATGAAATTACAGTCAATTTGGTTGCGACACATGTCCAAGCTCCCCAAATTACAGAAATTTTCGAGGTACCCTAATATGGGAGCTAACCTAAAAAGTTGATCAATATTAATAATTGTTGGTAGGAAAACTTTCTATACAACGAGAACCCAAAATATAAATTTATAATCAATTAGATTGTAAATTGAACCCAAGCTCCCCAAATTACCGAAGTTTGTAAGGTACCCTAATATCGGAGCTACTCTAAAAACTTGACCAAAATTAATAATTTTTGTTAGAAAGATTTTCTACCCAACGAAAACCCAAAATGCCAAATTATAGACAATTTGAATGTAAAGTGAACCCAAGCTCCCCAGAACCCCGAAATTTAGGTGATACCCTTATATGGGAGCTGCCATAAAAAATTGACCAATATTAATAAATTTTGATAGGGACATTTTTGTAATGTGTGAGTAAAATTCTAAAGCTCTATCTTTAATATTGCGAGCTCTATAGTGGTTTCGACAGAGAATCAGACGGACACTGATAAATCGACAAAGAATTTTATTACGATCAAGAATATATGCATTCCTTATGGGGTTTTCCGGTAATTATTTGCAAATGGAATACCACATTGAATATACGTTCCACCACCTTCACCTGGAGGTTATTAAAAATATTCATATACGTGGTGATGACGTCACTCCAAATAATTAAATCATCAGCCCATTCTGAACCCATTTTCTTGGCATATTCCAGACCATATGTTTGTTGATCGATCCATTATGATTCCTTTGAAAGATATTTCCCCAGTAAAATAATGAATGTTTGCATGGTCTCAAAGAAGATTATTCAGAAGTGGCAATCATTTACCGATAATTTTAATAAACCCTTTGAATCTGAGCAAAAATCTGGCAAGGGAGTTGATGACCTCCGCATAACAAATCACTATCGAAAAAGCAAACATTTTTTTGATGGAAAATGTTCTCCAAATCCACATGTAAAAAATCGAATAAAAATAAATTGTGAGGCCAAAGGGGCTGTATTTTGACTTTTCCGAATTTCTGAATAGAAGTCTCGAAAAACATGTTCCATGTAGGTTCATTTTTGCGATAACGTTCGATTTAAGGTGTATTGAAAGTCCCATCTCTATTTTCTAAACGAAGTCGCTGTTGTTTGGAACATTGGGGTCTCAGAGCATACTGTCGTCTTCTAGAGGAACATTTTAAATGTCCTAGTCAGATTTCAGATGCGTTGACAGTTATTTAAAATTTCAGACTCTCGTAGAATACAAAAAAATATCCACGAAGAAAATCTCCATGAAACTATGGGTCCTCAGAGGGATAAAAACCTTATCAAAAAGCTGGTCATTTTACGAAGTGCAGAAAATTCAGGAAATTCTATCCTGAAGGAAGTAAAGTCTGGGTCTTCAAAGGTATAAGAAAATCTTCTAAAGGTTAAAAATTAATTTTTAAGGTATATTTTTTAGAGCGAAGAATCTGTGGTTTGGTCACCACTCACTATCCCGTTTATATGAGAATTTACAAGAAAGTGGTATACATTCTCCTGTAAAGGGGAGAAAGTGAGAGGTCACCAAACCTCAGACACTTCGATCTAAAAAAATATAACTAGAACCTTCAAAATTAAAATTTTACATTTAGAAGTTTTTCATATCCCTTCGAGGACCCAGAATTTATCTATTCAGGATAAAATGTCCTGAATTTCCTGCACTTTGTAAAATGTCCGGCTTTTTGACGACTCTTCTCACCAGTTACCTGGGATTTGAATGGGAAATTCCTGCAGGTTGTTGATAATGTTGATTCTCTTGAAATTGGAAAGACCTTATCATAGCGATTAATTTCCCATTTAAACTAGTTCCACCTGCAAGGAATTACCCGCATATTAACACATCCCTATAAAAATTGGCGTATTCACGTGGTTTTTGTTGTTGTCCATTATTCGATTCGGAATCCCCCTCTACCCATTATCTGTTTAATATATATTCGAACATGTTCTTCCTGACACAAACAAAAAATATTTTCATTCTTATTTAATTTAGTAAAAAGACTAGTGCAGTGACTAATTTCCCTAAAAAATCAGTGATTCATCACGGTGTCTGCTGTCTTTGCAAATTACACGAGGTGTCTGCTAAAGGCAAAAAGCATGCCACTGAAGAAAAACCAGCGCCATTTCTGGGTGACGTCGTCTAATTCCCTTTGAAAAATGCCTTTAGAAATTGAATCTTTAGTTTTTTTTTCGATTTGTTTTTGTCTTCGTCAAATTGGAACAATTTTTGTAAGAGATAATCCAACAACAACAACAATGTAAACAATTTTGAACTTTTGCTCTTTTCATTGGCCAACACAAAAAAAAGAAAGGTCAAAAGGATTTTGGGAATATGGCCAATTGATGGGCCATCAAACACACAAATATACTCATAGGTGTTATGGTTGTTTCAGAATATGATGAATCAGAATCTTAGGAGATGGAAATAAATATATCGGAAAAATGGGTAATGGATTTTTAAAAAAAAAATATTTTTTAAGGTCTAAGGTCCTAACGCGGGAATTTTTTAAAAAATAATTTTTAAAAGTCTATCCTAAGGCGTAGATTTTGTAAAAATTATTTTTAAGGTCTATCCAAAGCCGCGGATTTGTTAAAAATTATTTTTAGGGTCTATCTTAAGGCGTGGACTTGTTAAAAATTATTTTTTAAGGTCTATCCTAAGGCTTGGATTCTTAAGGCGTGGATTTTTTAAAACTTATTTTTAAGGTCTATCCTAAGGCGTGGACTTGTTAAAAATTAATTTTTAAGGTCTATCCTAAGGCGTGGGCTTGTTAAAAATTATTTTTTGAGGCCTATCCTAAGGCGTGGACTTGTTAAAAATTATTTTTTAAGGTCTATCCTAAGGCGTGGATTTGTTAAAAATTATTTTTAAGGTCTATCCTAAGGTGCAGATTTGTTAAAAATCATTTTTTAAGGTCTATCCTAAGGCGTGGACTTGTTAAAAATTATTTTTTAAGGTCTATCCTAAGGCGCGGATATGTTAAAAATTATTTTTTAAGGTCTATCCTAAGGCGCGAATTTGTTAAAAATTATTTTTTAGGGTCTATCCTAAGGCTTGGATTTTTAAGGTCTATCTTAAGGCGCGGATTTGTTAAAAAATATTTTTAAAGGTCTATTCTTTTTAAAGCCTATCCTAAGGCGTGGATTTTAAAAAATATTTTTAAAGACTTTCCTAAGGCGCGGATTTTTTTTTAAATATTATATAAAAATTGGCAACACATTGAACGACTTCTTAAATTTTCCTATAAGGATTCGACTTCAATGCTTCTTTTTCCTTCTGACCCTGATTAGAAAAAAAAAAAAAACAAACCGGCAACATGAAAATTCTCGATTTTAAACAAAATCCATTTAAAATGAAAATAAATCCCATGACGGAAGATACCAGGACCGGAGCAAGTGCAGCCGCTGCCACAGCAGCCGCCAATGGTGTTGCTGGCGGCGCTGGTGGTGGCAGAAGTTGTTTTCGGGCACGCTTTGTGTTTCGATGGAAGACTTGGGTAGTAAAAATAAAACACTTCCTGTACCCTAAAATAAAAAAAATCCCATATAAAATTTAACCCCTCATAAAATCTACCGATTTTTTTTATAAACTTTACTAATTCCTCTCTTTTTATTTACAGGCCGAACTTGCTGATGTCTTACGCAAACGACGCAATCGTCCCGATGCCTCCGATGAAGATTTGGGCTTGCCACGCAGTCCAGCCTCGCCACAGCGACGTGTTGTGGCCAAAACTGGCGGCAGCAACAACAATGGAATTGGTGGCGGTATTGGAGGTGGCATGGCCTCATCATCATCGCTGCGTACCCACCATAAACAGTCATCAATGGAGAAACAAAGTGAAAATTCTTCCTTGAGCCTGTTGAGCATGAACAGCAGTGTTGAGGGTGAAGAAATGATGGTCACCTCCACCGCCAATAATTCAACATCATCAACAACAGAAATTGTACAAGAACGTTCAAGATATTCACGATCATCGACAATGTCGAGTATTTCAATGTCATCGGATATTTTGCGGCATCGTGAAAGTTCCTCACTACTAAGTGGTGGAGATGAAGTGGATTTATTTTCTTCGGACTGGCAACGTTTGTCACATTCGGCTGCCAAGCATAAAATGGCAATTCGACCGGCTAAGAAGAAGGGTGGCCCCAGCCGACAGCATAGAAGGACATTGGAGGTGAGTGGAGAAGAGTATAAAAATGTATTTTTAAAAATAAAAATATTTTCTAGAGCCTACACTAAGGCTTGGGTTTTTAGACAATATTTTCCAGAGCTCACTCTAAGGCGTAGATTTTTAATTAATATTTTCCAGAGCCTACTGTAAGGCGTGGATTTTTAATTAATATTTCCCAGAGCCTACTCTAAGGCGTGGATTTTTAATTAATATTTTCCAGAGCCTACTCTAAGGCGTAGATTTTTAATTATTATTTTCCAGAGCCTACACTAAGGCTTGGGTTTTTAGACAATATTTTCCAGAGCCTACTCTAAGGCGAGGATTTTTAAAAAATATTTTCCAGAGCCTACTCTAAGGCGTGGATTTTTAAGCAATATTTTCCAGAGCCTACACTAAGGCGTGGATTTTTAAACAAAACATTTTCCAGAGCCTATCCTAGGTGTTAAAAAATCCACGCCTTCTGGTAGACCTTAGAAAATAAATTTTAAATAGTCCTGCAGACATTTTTTCGTATTTTTATTAATTTTCTCTTTTTTTCCAGACTTCCATACCGGAGGCCAATGAGGAGCTATCGAAATTGACCAACAAAAAGTTATTGGATATTAAAGGTAAGTCAAATCCGATTCGCCATTTGGAATCCAATTTTAATACTTCTCTCTCTCCTTCAGATTTGGATAACAAAGCCAAGACACGTTCTCTCCCACCGGGTGTTAATCCTGCCAAAATTATGGAAGAACAACAACTACACACTGCCTATAAGGAATCAACAACAACAACCAAATCCTCAGCTATGGCAACAACAAAAACTAAAACTGCAACAACATCAAATCAACAACAACAAACTACGACCACGAGTTCGAGCTCAACGAATAATCTATTCGGTTTTCGTTCATTGTCTTCGAAGGCCTCGTCATTGTTTGAAGCCAAAGAAACTGCTTCCACGACCACCTCCACCTCTTCCACCTCTGCTGTGGCTTCTTCGGTGGTAATGGAGGAAAAGAAATTGGTGAAATCGGAGGAACCTGTTGTCGAGGAATCTGGCTTCTTGAGACGTTTAATGCATCGCAATTCGAAACGTTCCATTGCCAAGGCAAATGCTGGAGATGATGTGGAGCAGGTGGATGCGGCCAGCAAACCCAATGAACCAAAGAAATTACAAATTGGAAATTCCAATCATACGGAATCTAAGGCCTCATCGGCATATACATCCTCCTCCTCGTCATCGTCCTCCTTTGTCCAGGACGTAACCCAAAGTGAATTCTCCTATATCAGTTCACCGGTCAAGATCAGCAAAATGGAAGAGCATAGCCGCGAGCTGAAAAAATTGGAGACAATAAGTGACAGCAGGACTGCAAACTTTAGTCCCATCTCAAGTAGTCAGCATCATGAAACCATTAAGGAAGAGAAAATAGTGGAAGAGGTGGTGAATGTCAAACCCAAAACTGGACCTGCCTCTCGGCAACGTTACATGCCCCAAAATATTAGCAATGAAAATCTAAAGGCCTCAGAACAAATGGGTTCACGGGAATCGATACTAAGTAAATCTTCCGCCAATGAGGTGTTCCAATCCACCTCCATTATACGGGAGATTACCAAACAACAGCAGCAACAACAGTCGAGTCCCATGGTGATTTCTCCCTCTAAGGCCGATCATCATTTCGAAAAGAAACCGAAAATTGTGGGCCTTTCGGCTTTCCAACAGAAAATATCCAAATCGAATGAGTCCTTTGGCCGTAATTCGAATGTTTCCAGTACCACCTCGTTAAATCAACAAAATAGTGGTTCCATGGAAACCCAGGAGATCGGGGATGGGGAGGAATTGGAGTTATGTGCCCCCGTGCGGGCCCAAATCTATGAGCAGAAATCACGCAAGTCGGTAGAAAAATCCAAAAGTTTCCGGGCCTATGGTGAGGAAAAGCCTAGCATTACCCCAGTCCATAATAATATGCCCAGTCTACCGGATTTGAGTTTGAATTTGAGGGTACCCTATTACAAGGAATTTGAGACCCGCGAAAGCAAACAAGAGGAGTCGTATTTTGAAAAGGTCTCCAAAGTTTCCGTGACCTCACCCTCCACAACCTCTACGACCTCAAGTCGCCACATCCAAGAGGCGGAGAATAACATCGACATGATGGTCACCTCCCCATTCATAAGTGTTATACGCAAATCCGCCAATTTCTGTGAGCAGTCGGAAAAAATGGAAATCGTCAAACCGGTCCGACCCTCCGTTTTGGCCTTGAAAAAGGAGAAATCCCTGAGTGAGGATAATGTCCTAAATTCCCCCAGTACGGCCAATGTTACGCTAAGGGAAAAGGTTCTGCCAAAACAAAATCTGAATTTCACCACAAGTTCCAGCAGTGGTCAATTGGATCAGGAAAGGAAATCGGCTCCAAATCCTTCGGTTAGCAAACCAGCCAATGGTTTTAGAAGTAACTCTACTAGGCGTTCCTCAAGTGTGGTGGCGGATTCCACAGAAAATCAAAAATCCTCTGTACCGGAATTTATGAAAATCCAATTGAATCGTGTGGATCCTATGCGTACCTCCAAGACCCATGTGGTGTTGGCGAAAAATGTCAAGGAGACTACAAGCCAAGGGGGCGTGTCACGTGAATCTACACCCGATAAGGAAGATGATTTCCGCCGTTTGAGTTCGGAAAGTGTGGATATCAATGAACGTTCCTCCCCGGAAATGGAGAAACGTTTTCCCTTGGTCTATCATGAGGCCATTAATAAACAAGCCAAATTGCAGTTGGGTCTGCCACCCAAGAGTCCCATCAAGAAGACCACCTCGACCACCCCCTGCGGCATGGCCATATCAAATGTTCTCATCACGAATTCACCAAGTATAAATTTCCCCAACACACCCACCACACCACCCACTCCTACCATTAATGAAAAGGATAGCAAGGCGGACTTGGAGTCGCAATTCAAAATGCCTGAGATCAAATCCCCTGAAACCAATACAAATTCCCTTTCGCTGCAGGAACGTCGACGTCTCTTTATGTCCGAGGAGAAAACAAAGTTGGAAAAGAAAGTCGAAGAATTGAAATATGAAAGGAAGCGTTCCATCAATGAAGAGTTGGCCCGCAAAACTGTGATTAAATCCGAATCCATGGAAGAACGAGAGACCACCACCTCCTGCTCTCCCACCTCCATGGAAAATGGGGTAATTTTGCGTAAGAAATCCTTTGCCTCTTCCGCATCACATCTTTCGCTGAATGGTGGCAGTTCGCTGAGTAGCAGCAACAACAATAGCTGTTCAAATTTGAGCCATAAGTCCACAGATCCCACACCGGAGTTGATGAAGGTCTTCGCTAGGAGGTCGCTGAAAATCAAGGATGAGGATTTGGATAAAATGTTGAATAATGGCAGTAATACACCTCCCACCTCCCTTTCCAATAAGAAATTTTCATTGGGTAGCAATAACACCTCGACCTGTTCCACCTCCTCCAGCAGCAACAACAACAACAATCCCAGTGTGGACAGTGATAAGGAAAATCAATCTGCCAGTGAAGAGAAATTGGATAAGCTGAGTAAATTGGAACCCGAATCGAAAATCTCCTCCAATAGCACCTCCACAGTGATTAACAATCAAAGGAATTCCTTGGCGGATTTCAGGCAAAACTCACACAAAATATCGTCTTCAGGTTTGAGCCTGAACAACAATCATCAGCACCATCAGCCACAGCAGCAAATCACCTCACCCAGTATTGTAAATCAAAATCAACAGAACAACAACAACAGCAAGAACTTTTTACCACCCATTAAAATTGCCGGATTTAGGCATGTCTCCATGCCCAATAGCAATAACAACAATAGCATCTCCTCCCCCGGCAAATCCACAACCCTGGAAAGGCCCAGCACGAAACTCAATGAAACGAAAACCGAATCGACGATGACGACGAATGGTAGCAGCAACAGCAGCACCACAACTTATCCTCTCATCAGTAAGACCATTGAACGATCAGCCACAGTGGGAGAATTTAAGGGCATACATCAGCGTCGGGCCGAGTGGGAGCAAAGAGCCAAGGAGGCTTTAAAATAGATTTCAAAAAATGAGAAACTGAATTTTTAAAAATTTAAATACTCATTAAAAAAAATTTTAAAATTAGCACCCCCTCCCCCGTAACAACACCCTCTAAGTAGCTCTTATAGTTTAAAGCTCTCTGAGAATTTTTAGCAATCCAACCAACTAACCCCAAACAAAGCTTAGAAAGTTTTACCTGCAAACCGAAGCTTGATTTGTAATATAGAGAAAAAATTGCAAGATTTTGAAAAAAAAAATATAAATATATGAAAATCAGTAAATGGCCAAAAAACTATTATAAACTAATACTTAATATTAAGTTTTAAATAATTAACAAAAAAATTAAAAAATTAAGGAAAACAAAATATTTTATTTAATAAAACAAAGAAATGATTACAAAAGAAAAATTAATAACGAACCCTCCTCCTCTATTCAATTTTTTATTAAATGTGTTTTAATTGGAAATTTAATTCATGGCAAAAGAAGAAAAAAATTAAGGAATTTTTTTTAATTAAAGGAAAAAAATTAATATAAAAAAATAATTTTTAAATAATAAAAATAATTAAATATTTTAATTATACTTTTTGAAAAAAAATATTAGTTAAATTTTAATTATGATAATTAATTATTTTTTATAAATAATTAATTACTTAAAAAATAATTAATTAATTGTTTCTTTAATAATTATTTTTTAATAAACAATTATTTGTTTTAATTATTTTTTAATAATTAATTTATTTAATAATTAATTATTTTTTAATAATTAATTATTTGTATGAATAATTAATTTAAATATTATTTTAACAATGTATTATTTCTTATTAAAAAAATATTAATTAATAAAAAAGTAACTAATATTTTTTTTATAAAATCAATTCAACATGTTTAATTATTTTTATTAATTCAAAATAAAATTTTAAAATACAAAATTATTTTCTTTATTAATTAAAAAAATAATTAATTTAATTAAAATAATTTCTTAATTTTTTTTCTTGTTGTTGTTAAGAAATTTTTCTTTGAGAACAATTTAACAAAAATCCTTTTTGGTGTTTAATTTTTTATTACCATGATTTTGAATAATTTACTTAACAAATTATTATAAAAAAAACACGAAATTCATTAACGAAACCATCATTAACATTTTATGTTTATAAATATATATATTTTTTTATTAAAATTATTATTATTATTATTAAAAATTAATAAATAAGTTTTGTTACTCTAAGTACATTATTATTATTTTTATTTTTGTTTGTTTTAATAATTTTTAGTTTTTTTTTTTAAATAAATTAAGAAATTATTACAGACATGTGTATTGATATATATAATAAAAAAACTTAACATGAATGTCTTATAAATAAATAAAAAAAAAACAAATTAAAAAATTAAATGTATTTTGAAAATTATTATTTTATACCCTACACAACTATATCATCAGGATATTATTTATACACTACACAACTTTGTTGTCAGGATATTATAGCTTTGTGCAGCCCCAAAGTTTGTAACGCCGCGAAATATTGGTCCTAGACCCACCTTTAAGTATACCGATCGTCATATCTCGACTAGCTGAGTCGATCTAGACATGTGTGTCCGTCCGTCCGTCTGTCCATTATAATTTGTAAGCACGATACTGGCCACAGTTATGGACCAATCTTCAAGAAATTTTGCTGGGTTCTGGCCAATGAAGACCTCTATTGTTTTTGGTAAAGATCGGTTAATATTTAGGGTATGAAATGGACCAAATACTTAATTTTTGTTGGTTTTTCTGGTCGCTCTAGAGGCCGCAATTATGGTCCGAACATCGCGAAGGAGAAGGGAATCGGGCCAAAGAATAAGCATGCCTGTTTTCATAAAGATCAGTCAATATTTAGCGGGTCAAATGGGCCCTGACTTTTTTTTGAAAAATGTCAAAATTTGTATACTATGGCATGCATATATATTTACTACTGAAGGACATAGACCCGAGAATTTAATAGTACATCCTAGAGGATTGGTTGACCTTTAAATTGGTACCAATTATATTGTAGTATGTACTCGGATGTGGGAGTTATACGTAAATGTTTACAGGTATTTTCGTATTCAGATATTATTTAGTAATTCATTACCACACTAGAGTGCAGATATATATCGCCGATCGCTTTGAAATTTTCCATGAGGTTCCAGTTCCAGGTCAAGGACAACGCATATAACTTTCGGTAATGATTAGATTATAATTATGGGATGAAGTGGGCCGAATACTAATTTTTTTGTTTTTTTTTTCGGTCAATGCCGATAATAAACCAAACATCACAACACAACCCACGGTGAAGGGAATATGGACAAGTAATTAGAAGGACTGTACTGAATATTAGTTATATTCGAAAAATATGTTAGTGTAAGGAAGTGATGCTGTTGACCTCTAATCGGGTAAGAGGGTGAAACTATCACGAAATATTGTCCAGGCTCGTAATAAAAATCCGCAGAAAATTAGAGTTCCGTGGTAGTAGTGTAGGGTATCGCATGGTCAGCACCGTCCGACTATACTGCTCCGCTCACTGGTTTAAGGATATATTTTTGTAGTCTTTAGCCATGCCCGTCTGTATGTTATAATCACTCTAGCATCTGAACTAATTGAGATAGATCGCCAAAATTTTACATAAAGTCGTATTTTGTCTGCAGGTAGTTAAGTAAGTTCGTAGATTGGCTATAACGGTCCTCAATTTTTCTCGTTCGTTTTTCAACTGAATTCGCTGAAATTTGGTACATTGGGTTCTTATTGGGTACCAAATTTCCCCCACCAACAATTATGAATATAGATCCTCTTTTTCTGGTAGCCCCCATATAACGGTACCTCCCAATTTTCAGTTTTTGGGGGTTTCCACCGCATTTTTCGTCCGAATTGGCTGTTATTTAGTACTTTGAGTTCTTATTAGGTAATAAATCTCTCCGCGTTTTTCAACCGAATTCTATGTACATTGGGTTTTTGTAGTCCTATATGGTAACAAATGTACTTTGGTACTTTGAGTTTTTATTGAGTAACAAATCTCTCCACTAATAATTATAAATATAGCTCCATTTTTTCGTGTAACCACTATGTAAGGATACCCCCAATTTTCAGTATTTTGAGGTTCTTGAGTGTGGTTTTCAACCGAATTCTATGTACATTGGTTTTTGTAGTCCTATATGGTAACAAATGTCCTGCCCGTTTTAGGGGTTTTGGTGTTGGTTCTAAGACACTGCTGTAATCATTCTACCTGCGGAGTATATTTAGATAAAAAACTAGAACGTAAGGTGAAATATATCGGTTTACATTTAGGCCTAGCCCCCATATAATGATACCTACCGATTTTCGGTATTTTTAATATTTAGCGTAAAGGAAGGTATTGTGATGCAAAAATGCTAGTTTCGAAATTGAGTTTTATCAGTACTCTATTAGGCATGGTACCTTATATAATGATAACTACTAATGTTCGGTGATTCCTACGCGATGTAATCAATATTGGCCCCGTTTTAGGTATGGACTTCAGGGACGAACTCTTACATTTTATCTGCAATGACAATTAAACCAGCCAACCCCTCGAAATAAAATCTGAGTACGTTGGTGATGGCCTCATACAATTGTGCCCTCTAAATTGCAGTATTTTGGGGATGTTCCACCCTACCCTGTGTCGCCAATAAAAGGTCGACGGTTTGTTGTTATTAGGAAAAATCTCAATTAAATCGGTTAGTAGAAATGTATTGGTCCACTTTTTGGTATGTTCCCTATATTTTCATTTCAAGTACCTGTCAGTATACGTATGATGGAGGGTATTCAAAGTTCGGCTTCATTTATAAAAAACTTTTATAAAAATTTCAAATATTGGCAATTTGTGAGAGAGCTGGTGACCGAAGGAGTGGACCAAGAGGTCGCAGCTTCGGACTTCACCTAGGATTGGTAATAATATAACGATATGTAAAGTTTGGTTTTGAATTGCATATTTCATTTGCTTAATATGGGATTCATAAAAATTGAAATTTTTGACACTTTTTGGGGAGGTACTAGAAGAAGTGGTCCGATAAGTCCCATCTTCTGCCAGTATACAGGCATGGTAAAAATATTACGATGTGCAATATTTGATTTTAAACGGATAGTCCGTTTGGATGATATTATAAAATTAATTTTCAGCAAACTGCTGACCATTTTGTGTGGGAGGTACAGGAACGGTCCACCCCGTTGGGTTCCATTTTCGAACATGATTTAAATTTGAAAGAAATATAACGATGCGCAATGTTTTGATGAAATTGGTTGCTCCATTCGAGAGTTATTGTGGCTGCCCAACATACAGACTATGTTCAGCCTAAAAGTATGCTTTAGTTTTCGTTACAAACAACCAAAAGCCATTATGATGAGAGACGAAGAAAAATTGACGTTTAAAAACATGATTTTTTGTGCGATTTTTTCCTTTTTAGGTAACAGGTGTCCATCATCGAATAGTAGGGTGTATTTCGGAACATCGTTAAATTCAAATGCAAATATCTCAGCGACTACTTAACCGATTTTCATAATTTTTGCACCATTAGGTCGAATGAATTCTAAAGTTTTAATGAGTTCAATATTGAGTTCCATATTGCCGAATAATTTTTATAATGTCCGATTTATGCATTTTAAACTTTACCATTTTCTTAATTCAAAGGTACAATGTTTTATTCGGTAATTTGCTTAAAATCCATATTGAAAAAATCACTGTAGTTAAAATATAAACTAAAAAGAAATATTTAAAAATAAATATAGAAAATCATAAAAATCAGAGCTTACATTTATTACAAAAGAAATATAATACAATCTAAAAAGAGCTTCTTCTTAATTTTTTTAAATAAAAGAGCATTTAAATTAATAAAAACAGCTATTTAGCTAAACAATTTTAATATTAAACACAAATTTGAGAGATTCATATCTACTATTTTTTTAAAAAAAAAAAAAAATGAATATATTTTTTATAGTTAAATAAAAATTAGAATAATTAGCATATAAAGCTCTTTTTTTGAAATTAAAAAAAATCCTA